AGTTCGAAATATTCCAATGAAACGTATTTGAAATGTAAATGACCAATATACGGTGGCTCATAAGGGACATGAAAAATAATATAATTTGGTTTTTTTTAATTATATTAAAATTGACTTGGGTGAAAATTATAAAAAACAAATTATATTAAAATTGACTTGGGTGAAAATTATAAAAAACAAATTATATTAAAATTGACTTGGGTGAAAATTAAAATTGACTTGGGTGAAAATTATAAAAAAACAAATTATATTATTTTTCATGTCCCTTATCAGCCACCGTACCAATAGATGTTTTGTTGGGGTTTTTTTTAAGAACAATGTATCTACATTCCCATTACTAATCACCATTACTTCTAAATATGTACCGATTACAAACATAACATATTCGAGACAAGGACAGAGCACACAAGTGCGTTTTGTCTAAAATCATTTTTGCCCTCGAGAAATAAACAAAATTCAAATAAAATTGGTGTGGCCTAAGTTATTATATTTTAGACCGAAGGTGAGTAATTTATTTGTCGAGTAGCAAAAATAGTTTTATTCCCCCTGACCCAGATGACTCTAACGTGTCTAATATATTTTAGAAAGGTGTAACTACATTCCTATTACTAATTATAACATCATTACGTATGGTTTAATGGTCGAGAGCGAGACATTAAGTAATATATTGATACTTCACGACGCGTTAAGCGGCCCATATTATTGATGTCAATTTTATTGAAGCAAATTTCGGTTTCCCACACACATTCAATTATATTGTCTCAATATTCATTCTAAGGAAAGCAGCAATCATGAACGGAACTATTTGTTTAGCATTAGCTATGGCAGTTCCAAGTCCCAAGAAAAGGAAAAGACGTTGCAAATAAAAATGACGGTTTATCAATAAAAAATCTACGGACTTTTGATTTCTTCAATCATATTGACATCAATTATTTCGAGCTTCAATATCGCATACACACGTTCAATATAATTGTCAATATCAATTATTGACAATATTATTGACAATTATATTGAGCGTGTGTGGGCCGCTTAAGCCGAGTGTTGTTTCAATATATTACGCAATGTCTTTAGCTCGAGACCATTAAACAACTTAAAATACAGACACTATCCCTCACGTGCTTTTCTGAAATACGTCACGCGAGTCCAATATTTCATCTAGTATAGATAATGTACGATTGGCAAATTGCCCGTACATTATTGGAAATAATGGTACGCCAACATCAAAGGATTTCGTCACATGTCTATTTTAATTCTAAAAAATGTACTGATTACAAACGTAACATATTGGAGTCAAGTGCTTTTTGTTTAAAATCATTTGTGCCCACGAGAAATAAGAAACAAAATTTCAATATGTGTTTTTGAAGAAAACAAAATTCAAATAAAATTGACGTGGCCTAAGTTATTATATTTTAGACCGAAGGTGAGTAATCTATTTGTTCAGGAGCAAAAATAGTTTTATTTCCCCTGACCCAGATGACCCTAACATATCTAATACGATGAGCTAGTGTGTGTGTGTGTGTGTGAGAGAGAGAGAGAGAGAGAGAGAGAGAGGGAGGGGGTAACGTTCACTCGACACAAACCAGGTCTTTTCGGGACTAACATGTGGTTCAGTTTTATTTCAATAATTCGCTTGCGCGTAGCAGTGGGAGGAAACCGGAGAGGACCCGGAGAAAACCCACGAGGTTGGACAGGCGACCCTACTACTTGTCACATACGACCGGGGAATCGAAACCACGCCAGTTGACAGAATGACAAACCTCATGATACAGCGCGCACGTGCTAACCATTCTGCCATCCAGCCCCACTAGTGTAAGAATGAGAGAAACTAATAATAAAGATTTAGGATTGTGTAAGTAATGCGTGAAATGTATTCATTAAATGTATCAGTTTAGAGAAAACGGTAATGACGCGACTAAGTAAAGTTACAGTAATCACGCGTACTACAAAAATTCTCTTTACTAAGGCGTTAAAATTACAATTTGTTCTCTTAAACTACTAAACATACTTCTCATCTAAGATGGTGAAGGTTCTCTCTAATACGACGCCATCATAAGAAAGGTATCTCTTATAAAATGAAATGAAATGAAATGGGGTTTAACGTCCTACTGTTCTGCTGTTCTGCTCCGAACTGGGCTAATGAAGACGGGCATACGCCATACAGTGTGCTATGAGGGAAATTTTTCCCGGACAGCGGCACTACGGCCTACGCTTATATCGAATTCCAACTGTCAAGGGATCTTTTACGTGCACGCCAATCTGTACATCGGACCTCGGTTTTTCGTCCCGTCCCATCCGAAGGACTAGACACCTGTCCTTGTCAGGCCCTCCGCCCTGCATCACTGACAAGGGGAACCACGCCGGAAAATCTAGATGAACTTTCTCGGCCAATGCAGGGATCGAAAACCCGACCTCCAGGCTAGCGAGCGAGCGTCTTACCCAGTAGTGTTTTGATCAATTATGACGCTATAGGTGAGGAGCAACATGTTTGGTCTACTGTCTGGGCACTAGTATGATACAAACACGCCCTAAAGTCAGACGTTTAGATTGTATTACACAAGCGGGGAGATTCCATACAAATCATTGTGTTGTTTTTCATCATAATACACCGTATAACGCTAAGAATGCAACTTAAGTGCGTACATGTACTCCGCATCGCGTCTGTCGTAAAATAACGGCCCCTTCCACTTCAAGACCATAATCAAACACCCAAGACACTGCATCTTCAGTAGAAGGTTTGATCTCGCCTTAACTCCATACATCTCGTCAACGAGTAGTCGTTGCTTCAGGAACATGAAGATACTGGTGCTATCAGTTATTTAAAGGCTCAATACCACTCTTGTTGTAACTGAATAATATGTCCCAATCTTTATTCTGGTCAACAAATTGTACTATTTTACAATATTTCAATTAATTGATGATACAAATTTCATCTTAACACACCTAATTTAAAAATTGGAAAAATTCAACTAAATGATTTGAAAAGCCTAACGTAAACCTTTTCAAATGTGACTTGGATTTTAATATATTTTCGAACCCTCTGGACAAGTAAAATAGGGTGTAATGGATAATTTACACAACAGGTAGGACACTTAAACATCTAGTACTTAGAATAAGGCTATTTTTTATTTTCTGGAGCTGTCAAGCCAGCAAGAGTGTTATTGTCCCTTTAAGGCGCTGTCTCGCTAACAACACCAAGTTGGCGAGTTCGGTCCCGTTGTTTACCGAGAAAGTTTGGATTTCCTGGCGTGGTTTCCCTGCGTCTGTTGGGCCGTCTGGTGGGCCTATCAAGGAATAATCTCTGGTTGTCCCTTTAAAACTAATTCATCGGTTCAGTAATTCAATGATAATTTCACATGTCATTTAAAGGAAATGTAATGGAGAGAAAGAGAGAGAGAGAGAGAGGGGAAGAGAGAGAGAGAGAGGGGGGGGTAACGTCCACTCGACACAAACATGGTTCAATTGTATTTCAATAATTCGCATGCGCGGAGGGGTCTTTAGCAGTGGGAGAAAGCCGGAGGAACCTGAGAAAACCCACGAGATTTGACAGGCGATCCTATCCCTTGTCACGTACAACCGGGAAATCGAATCGACGCCAGTTGATTCAATGGCCAAACCTTATGATACAACGCTCACGCACTAACCATTCGGTCACCCAAGCACCCCACCCCCACACCATAGTCACTTAAATAATTACGCATATCATTTAAAGAAAGTGTAATAAAAGGACGATTAGACAAATTATACTCGCATTCTACAAAAAAAAATCACCCTTTGTGTCTGAATCATTCCTGATTTACGAAATGTGTCTACGAGTACATGGGTGGATTATTTGAAAATAATTTAAATATTGATAAACAAAGATAAATATAAAATATATGAAGCTTGTCTGGTTAATATTGACATTAAAGACACATTATGTAATATATATATAATAGGTCCAAAGAAGATAACGAAAAATGAATATTGACAATTTCAGACAAATTGCTTAATTCTGAACGAAGGTACGAGTGTTTGCAGTTTTGACAAGATATAGTGAATATAGTCTGGATTTTCAAATACATAAAAGTCTCGATTATCCATTTTAATGTTAAATTATTATCTGGCGCGTGTGTTCTAATTCATGCAATATCCCAGCCACCCGATTGCCCAGATAATTGATTATGAGCTTGTCATGTAAATAAATGCCTAAATAATAATTTATATAACACCTGAAGCCAGACAAAAACACCCGTAATAGGCAGAAGCAGCTCTTGTGTAATACATTTTTATTGTTTATATATACATGTATTCACTGATATGAGTTTGCAATATATGGGTGGGGTTATATTTAATTTATTATTATCTATATATTTTCAATTTACATCTGTATATATATTTTGGGGGCTACGCCTGTAATAAACGTCAAAAGTTCAAAGTCAATTTAGATGCAGTCACATTGCATTATAAATGTTTTTTCGACTCATTTTCGTCTATTTTTAAGGTTAAGAGAATAGAGTTATACGTCCTTTTAATATGTATTAAATTTCTCTTCAATATGGTCTTTTATTATATAACGAAATGAAATGAAATGGGGTTTAACGTCCTACTCCGAACTGGGCTAATGAAGATTGACATACGCAATACAATGTGCTATTAGGAAAATTTTGCCCGGACAGTGGCACTACGGTCTACCCTTATATCGAATTCCAACTGTCAAGGGATCGCCAATGTGTACATGGGACCTCGCTTTTTCGTCCCATCTGAACGACTAGACAGCTGTTCTTGTCAGGCCCTCCGTCCTGCATCACTGATAAGGGGGAAGCACGCCGGAAATTCCGGATGAATTTTCTCGGCCAATGCAGGGATAGAACACCCGACCTCCAGGCTAGCGAGCCAGCGTCGTACCCATTTAGCCACCGTGATCCCCATATTGTATAACGACAATAATGGTTAAATATAACAGATTTTGCTCTTAGTCTACTTTTATAATCACGTCTATCAATTATTAAATAAACACTTACATTGTTTGTGGTTGCCTCTTCCATTCCAATATTACTTTTCTTCACGTGTTCAAAAACATCTCTATTTATCAGTAAAAAAAATGTCTAAATTTTGATATAAAAAAAAACAATTCATATTGACAGCACTAGATTATGAATTCTTCCAATTTCAATTTCTTTTATCAATATTCAACATCAATCCTCAAATAAAACATTTAATATTTGTTACTGCTAATTTAGTGTGTTGTGTTGAGAACCTCGTGTCTCTAGTTTTTTTAAAATTCCAAAATAAATTCTGTAAGTTTTATTACGATGATCAATATCGACAAATGTTTTATCTTCTGACATTTTTCATCCCAAATGTAATACGCTCGTTATATCCATAAAAATAAATCTTCTAAACTTTTGAACACAAATCAGCTTTAATCATGTAGAACATCATCATTGATCTTTCGGCTTCCATGCAAAGAAGCCATTTTGTGTTATGATAACCATCAAAGTATTAAATATATTTTCTATCTTCAATAGTTCGGAAAGGTCTTTTTAACAACATGCCTCCTAGCCATCGGTATAATTACGACTGCCTGGTTGATCACAAGTAAACACCCACGTTTTGTCTTCGATCAATGAGTCATTTGGATGGTTTTGCCAGACAATCTTAGTGCAATCTGCGCTAGCTTACGTACATCTTATTTTCTTTTCCTTTGATGACTGACGTATCTGTAGTAGAAAAATATCTTATGCAGCACAAATCCATTACAGTGTCATTCATCTTTTCACGCCACCGACGTAAGAATGACAAGTTGTGCTTTTTGCGCGCATTATCGTGAGTTAAAGGGATAAGATCGTCATAATTGAAGCTCTTTACGGTGTTTTGAAGTTCCAAATTAGATTTACCCAGAAACTTTCCGGAGAAAAAAAAAGCTAGACACAATGTCAGAAAATGTTGATCTTTGAAAGGAATGGTGATTTTTGTTTGTTGAGACCTAATGGTTATATTTTCTAGTTAGATTATCGACAGAACTGTCCAAATAATTCCTAAATTTACGTGAAATCCTTGGAATATAGGGCATACTTCTTCAAGGGGAACTTAAAGTTACAATTTCATATTTTTAAGTTATATTTTTTAAATGTATTAAAATAAAGCCCTAAAATAGATGGTATCTATAAACAGCCCTACATTGTTAAAGAATAATCCTATTAATCCTATAATTCACTATTGCCAGTTGAGAAATTGGCAAAGATATCATTTTCAACTTCAAATTCAAACGTTTGAAGATAGCTATTCTATGGTGGGGAATAGGAAAACAAGGGAAGTAATTGTGTTATTATTTCCGGTGTGAAGATTTTTAAGTGTGAGAAAGATAACCTATGATCGTATAACAGTGAGTTGACAACCTATTGAGCAAAAGACATAGAAATAATTATGTTTTGACTTTCTTAGAAAATATGAAATTGTAACTTTAAGCACTTGCAGATATTTAAATCTATATTCCATTCTGAATGTGGGAGGTGCCGTGGTGTAACGCATGGGCTTTAGACCATAAAATCTGTCGTTGAGTCAAGTGGCGTGGTTTCGATCCCAAGGCTGTTCGTGACAAGGAACTTCGTGGATTGTTTCCGGGTTCTCCTGTCTCCTCCCAATACTAGGGGTCCTTAAATCTCTCTCTCTCTCTCTCTCTCTCTCTCTCTCTCCCCTCACTCTCCCTCTCTGGCAGTTTCCTAGTGTACGAGAGATTCACAGAAGAGAATAAAAATTAAGCAACAAATTGACACGCTGGTTGTCACGTCACTGGGAAACTGTCAGTTCCTGTGGAAAAAAATAGAGAAAACTGAAATTCTACAACTGATGAAGACAGTGGCGGATCTACGTGATTGGGGCTTTGTTATGAGGTTCCTTCGCAACCAGCAACGAGCTTTGGCACCACTAATATCTTCGTCAATGGAGTTGTCCAATGACAGCTCACCATAAATGTTTAAAGGAAGCAAGTTTCTAACTCGAATCGCGTGCTAGAATGCTTTCGATCGCCATTTGTAATGAAGTCATTCGAGGAACGATCTTAAACATGCCCGACAGGAGAATACTATCGGTGTAGACTGAAATAACCAGACGCCAAAGACTGCCATTTAATTATATACATTATTATATGCAACATAAAAGGAACATCTTTTAGTCGTTGGTATGGGACCAAAAACCTCAGAGACTGTTGTTTCTCGTTGGTTTAGACTAAGTGTCATATAATAATTATGATGATTATTAGGGTATAATAGGCAATGCATACGTCAAATGTTTATTCGTGGACTTCAAATTCTGTGGTAGCCACGAAAACGAGTCATAAACCAAGCCGGTACCTTCCAAAAGAGAAGGTATGTATTCAGTCTAACAATGACAGATTGAATTCGATAATGACTGGGCTAAAATTACCCTCATAGCAAACTGATTGACCTACGAGGCCTCATGTTTTGAAATAATCAATGTGACTACACAAAAGTCTGGTTGAAAGAGACTAGGGTGATTGAAACACTAATCTCGTAATCGAAAGCAAAGGAGAGGTTTTTCGATATGTTAACGTACTGTTTAAGAAACCACCAATTAACTGCTACTAACAGGAAATTTGATATATTTCTTTATTTGTTATATGCCATGTGAAGTTTAGCATACCTGTACTTAATATAACATATCTGTATTAATTAAGAAAAACTACCTTGGGATGAATTTATCATTAGCCACGTGTGTTGATGTGATAATGTTGCATCTTCCAAATTCCTCTCACGGTATATCGATTAAAGGCGTTAGAAACACGATAACAGAATCTTGACACAATTCACGGTTGTACTTTCGCTCAGAAATTCAGTGAAGGTGATAACAGTAGTTTTATTTTTTTAAAAAAACATACCCACTCCATCAGAACGTGATAACAGCAGTCTGGTAACAAAACCGTACCCAAATCATTAGAACTATCTAATATACTCTTCCATTTCGGTACCTTCCTAGGTGTTTCCATCTCATTGGCCCCTATTTGTAGAAAGCGGATATACACTAATCATTGGAAAATTTCACTTCTCTGAAAAATGTGAAACATGCTAGTAAATTGAGTCGGAATGCGCAAATTCTAATAATGAGCTACAGCCAAAACGATTGAAAATATTGATTTTGATCGAAATTGAGGTTTTCACAAAATTGAGTCTATAAATATACTATCTATCGACCCAAAAGATTAAAATAGCAATAAAACATTTTTATTTGGACGTTTTGTAAGAGTACCGTATTCTTAAATCTTTCTTTTTTCTTAAAATTCTCAACGAAATTAGTTTTTTTCGACCCATGCAGCGGGACGACCTGTCAATCTCCGTACGTAATAATTGGCATCTAGTTTATAAATATTGCCAAAGTATTACCGATAATACTGTTTGAATGGCATTTAGTAATTGAACACATTAAAAATAAACTATCATTTTGCTTGATAACGACAAGAGAATCATTGTTGAAACGTAGCTTTAATAGAAATACAGTAATTGTTATCCATAGAACTGTTGTGTTTATTTTTTATTACCGATAATCCCAATTTTAACGAATACAAACGAGTTTTAAAACCCATACAACATGTCAAAATTCTCGGCCCAGACACTCCGCATTGTTTTATCATGGCTGCGTTCTTCGTTCTATCTGTGGTTCAGATTCTGATACTGAAACCCCATTTAATTGAGTCGTGTGACGAAGATAACACAAAACACGTATAGCTGTGGCGACTTCTTTGATAATCGAGAAACTAAACTTGATTACTCAATCAACAATCTTAATCTCCCGAGCATTAACACAAAGGTGCTAATTAAGTGATGAAATTAACAGAATATATTCACATAAAAGTTATAATATACAAAACCTATAGCACTTATATATGAACTATACTCTTTTGTTCTAAATTATAACACCGAAAGAAATATTAAACGAAAAATAACAAATATATGGCGTGGTTTCCATGTGATTTTGTTATAGAACATACAGACATCTTTAACTTGCTTTTTCCTAAAACTACCTTTTCCGACTTGGGCAACTTCAAACGGACATAGCTCAGTCAATTTTCACTCGATTCATACCAACCATGCATCAATTTGAAGGTATTAACGCAATTTTCAAAATTTCCTCATTGCGATTCAATTTGCCCCCACGGGTTACAAATGTCTTTATAAATGGATGTTTTGGGGTTTTTTTTATAAATAAATGAAATTATGCCTCCTTTTTAATCGGATTTTAAACGACATAATTAAAGCTCGATTTTCATTTATTTAAGTCGCACTTTCGAACAAATCTAGTACAAAGCTTTGTCGAAAAAAGCTGTAGGAATTAGACACATAATTCTTCTTTCAATAGAAAATTAATTTTCGGAAAGCCAACAAGTTGTAATCAACAAATGGTTCAATTTTATTTCAATAACTTGTTGGCTCATAGGGGTCTTTAGCAGTGGGAAGATAGGCGACCATACTCCTTGTCATGTACAAGCGGGGAATCGAAGCTACGCCACTTGACTCAATGACAGACCTTCTGATCCAACGCGCACGCTTCAAACTGTCTTGGTGGAAGTAATAATTATTTTCAAAATTGTTTAACGAAGGCGTAATTTACTTTCAGACATAGATCACAACATTGGCTCTAGATAAGATTCCAAGTTGTTAATCAATTTTGTTCCGGTTATTGGTTGGGTCTATTTAGTTAAGCTATTCTTTATTATCTCAAATCTGTGATTGGTTAAAGCATGGAAAGTTTGTGAACGGAGACTGTGTTATACCAACTGGCCTTATTTCAATATTGGGTCAGATAATTCAATAACCTAGGATTGCAATTGGGGCAAGTAATTGAATAACAACGTGATCGCGACAGTTACAGAAACAGTCTATTCAAGAATAGAATTTCCACAAGTATCATCGACATCAATCGGCAAAGAGTTCTACATCTTCTAATTTCCTTTGCCATTAATAACTAATATATTTGTTTTAGCTGTTGGCGTGTTCGTTAGTATTGTGTAACGCTTGTCTCTCGAAGATGGCAGTTCTAGTACTTCTAGTTCAATTTATTTATGTTAGAAATACAGATTCTGGAATCATCAGGGTAGTTATATATAGAACACAATTCTATGGAGAGAGAGAGAGAGAGAGAGAGAGAGAGAACTGGGGTTTAACGTCTACTCGACGACACAAACTAGGTCATTTCGGGACTAACATATGGTCTAATTTTATTTCAATGATTCGCTTGCGCGTAGGGGTCTTTAGCAGTGGGAGGAAACCGGAGAAAACTCACGAGGTTGGACAGGCGAGCCTACTCCTTGTCACGTACAACCGGGGATTCGAAACCACGCCAGTTGACTCAATGACAGGCCGTATGATACAGCACGCACTTGCTAAACATTCGGCCATCCAACCCCCCACAATTATATGGTACAAGTACTGTTTATTACTGGGCGATGTTTTGTGTTATTTAATGTGCTTTGCTTTACATATATAAGGGGTCTGTTTTATATTACATTACTCTCATTAACCCTGATCATTTTTTA